TTCAAAAATGAAATCATCAATGTCAGTAACTCTTTTCAATATCTTTCCTCTCTCCAAACTGCAGCTGAGCTCAGACCAGTGAGAGCAATGAAACCTCCAGCTTATGTTCCAATGCAGGTGAGGACCTATGATGGGCCCTCTGGACAGCCTGGAGGATCTGTATTGGTTCAGCACACCAGTGTGAACATCGTCACTGAGCCTCCAAAGGACCATATTATCTGGTCCCTCCTCTGCTTTGCCTACTCAAACCCCTGTTGTCTTGGACTTGCAGCTCTCATTTATTCTATCAAGGTGAGGTTAATTAAATCAGTTTTTTGAGCATCTGTTATTCTTCTGAGTGTTTGTGTCTGTGTGTGTGCATGAATAAATATATCAGTTTTTAACTGTCTGCTTACTATGACCTACATTATATTGATTTGACCATATAGATCAAGTTAATATCCATGAACTCCAACTACACTTTTACAATCTATATGTTTCTGTCCTTTTAGGCCAGAGACCGGAAGGTGGTTGGAGATTTGGAGGGTGCACGGCATTATGGGGCCACTGCTCGCCAGCTTAACGTCACCTCCACAATCCTGGTTGCCCTTGGACTCCTGTTTTTCATCATTACGATGATAGTTGTATTGGAAGGGGTATATCATTAAACTCTCAAAGTAACAAACCCTGACAAAACGCTTCCTTTTAACAGATTGCAGTGCATTGCTTGCTGCTGTGACTTTGGATTTGGATGATAAATATTAACATCAATTTTATTATCAGTCTTCATTATGAGATTTTGACTATGATTTGTCTCTGTTGGCAAGTCTTTTGTTTGGAAAAGATCACATTTCATATATATTGTTTTTTCATATTTCAGTGAAGGTAAATGCATATAAAGATGATTTTTAGCCAATTAAATTAATGTTTGTGCCTATCTATCTACACCCAGGTGAAAAATAAGCACACTGCATTTGGCGTCTGCTAAATTACATACGGAACAATGAATGACAGTATACGGAATTCTTCTTTGTTCACAAAAACCTTTTTTCTGTAGCTGTGGATCATGCTGCATATTCACTGACAGGGATCTCAGCTCATTCATGGCAGGAAAATCTTTTTATTGAGATGTTTCATTTTCCACTCACTAATATTCCACAGAAACAGTGTGGACATTTCATCCCCTTAGAATTTGTTCGATTTAGAGAATTAAGAGTTGATTTGTATGCTATGTTATAATAAATATAATCTTTGAGATTTAACCCTTTAAAGCCGGTCGGAGCGGACACGCTCCATTTTGCGTAACTATTTTTAAATCCCGGTAGCACTGCAACCACGTAAGCTAGCGCAATAATTTTTTTTGCATATGAAACCGGAGGAGTTGTACTTACATCTTATGCCATCAGCTTGTCCTCGGTCACAGTTTCCTTCCACATATAGCTTTGCAAAAACTGCATAAAAAGCACTTGCAGCAACAAAAACATAATATTCCAGAAAAACGCTTTGCTGATCCGATCAGCTGTTTGTAACACTTCCTACGTCCATCAGCGTGAACTGTCGCATGTCCGCCATGACCTGCCCGAAACCGGAAGTGACGTCATTTTGCGCCAATGTAGTTTTTTTTTTACCATCGGGGACTTATGAGCCTATACTTGTGTTTTTAAAAGTTATGTTTGACTTTATGACTTTCTGTGTCATTTCTGGGATGCTTAGGACTCATATTGCACTGCTGGAAATAGTTTATTTTGATGCATATGCTGTTATTTTGCAAATTTGCATTATAATATTTATTTTCGTTTTTCCTGCAATATATGAAAATTGGTGTATTTCAAAAATAAAACTATGAAGACACTTAAAATTAATCTTCTGTGATGGGAAACTAGTTTGTGCAACTTTTTTGTATTTACAGTTTTGAGGGATAAGCCTCTTAAATTTCTCTAACTAGAAATATATGTTAAAAAAACAAAAACAATTTTCAATTTTTTTGTAGTTTATTGCACTTTTTGGCAATTTATGTAATTACTATGCACTTAATGCAGACATATTATTAAAGTTTGGGCTATAATGGTTGTATTGATGTATAGCAACTTGAAATGCTCCCAAAAATGGCTCCACAGCATGTAAAAATATAATATAAGCTCTGGTGGACTTGGTTCTATGGTAGGTCTTAAAGGGTTAAATGGTGTTGGACTGTAACTCATTAAAAATGTATTTCCTAGGGTTGGGTTTTTTGTTTGTTTTTTAGATTCCATTGATTTCCAGGAGCTCTTGTAGCCTCGATAGCAATTCCTTCTTCCTTTTTAGAAATGAATATTGTAGTTTAATATCTTAGAATGGAAATAGTCTACTTCTGAGGAATTGTTGTTTTCTCCATCTCACCCCATCCCTTGCATCCTCCTCTGTTACACCAACCCTCTATACACTATACCCTTGAATCTTTTCTGTGGTCTTCCTATTTACTTATGAAGCCCCTATGATATGCACCGTATTTTGGATGGAATCCAATAGAATGATACTCCTGGTGGTAACACACATTCCAGCCATGTATTCCAGCCCTAACCCTAACCTTAATCCTAACTTAACCCTACCCATAATCTTATTCCTAACTCTGTCTCAGACCTTCGGACAGTGCACATCTCTATTGAGAGCCCTTCAACAGCCACAACTTCACTTTTTTTTTCTCTTTTCATGTGCTTCTCACCTGAGGAAAGCCAAATCTTGGCCAAAACATGGCAGTACAAGCACACGCATCATTGATTATTTTATTTGAGGAGTTTTAATGTATTTTTTTTTCATTTCAGTTTTTTCTATTTCATTTTTGTTCATTAATAAATATATAAATAAAGTTTTATTTTCATATAAACACATAAAAATACATTTATTAAATAACATAACAGATTAAATTTCATTTTATTTACTTAGAATAACAAAGCAAACAGGGGACACAAAGTACACACAAATAATAAACAACACAGGACGAAACCTCACGAAAAAACCAGGGCTCATAAATATTTTGTACTTGTAAATCAGGATTTGTATGTGTAAAAAGAATTTGTGTGTGCGTAAAAAAGATTTTTGTGAGGACTTTGCCAAAAAATACGTGTGAATAGTGTGAATACAAGTAAAAATGGTAAATGGCCTGCATTTGTATAGCACTTTTCTAGTCCCTAAGGACCCCAAAGCGCTTCACACTACATTCAGTCATTCACCCATTCACATACACATTCACACACTGGCGATGGCAAGCTACATTGTATATTGTATATTATTATTATTATTACTCTCAACAAGCAGCGGTGCTGCCGTTGGGAACTTGACCCATACCAAAGCGCTTACAGACGGAGGATAGTCCTCCCCCAGCTGCTATCAGGGCAGGAGATGTTCACACCCCTGCGTCCAAACTGCAAATGAATCGCGCATGAGCAAAGCCGCTGCTCCCGCACTGACTGTAACACAGTCAGTTCTTATTTTACTCTTATGCTGCTTTGTGGATCACAAGGTTTAAAACTACTTGTAAGCGCCAGACGTCTGCTTTATATTTTTATTTACGATTGAGTTCATGTTTGTTTTATAATTCATAGATTCATTACATAAGTCATCTTTTCAGTATTAATAAATGTGAAAATATATGTGTTTACATAAAGTAATTTTAAGTCACTGTTTTGGGATTGGAACCTAAAAGGGGGTACCTCTCACTTTAAGTATGTAAGTGCAATAGTAGCATGAAACCCTGTATGAGAGGGAAGGGGAGGAGCATGGACAGAGAGGTTAGGAGTCAAACACTAAATGACGTCATTGCGTAATTTGCATATAATTGGTCATGCTAATATAATTGTAACCTACGTTGTTGGAGAGAGAAATAACATCGTGGAAGAGACATAAAGTGAGTAAAAACGTCCTAAATGCATTTAGAATTTATTTAGAACTACAAATTAAATTTATTTTAGCAATTATTGTTTTTTTTAATGTCACAATTCCAACCCTGCTCCTTTATCCGGGCTTGGACCGGCAAAAGTGACCCGAAATAGGCACTCTGGTGGACTTATTTTGTGTGTGTGTGTGTGTGTTTATAAGTAGTTTTAAACCTCGTGATCTACAAAACAGCATAACAGTAAAAGAAGAATTTACTGCGTTACAGTGCGGGAGCAGCGGCTTCGCTCATGCGCGGTTCATTTGCAGTTCGGATGCGTAGGTGTGAACATCTTCTGCTCTGATAGCAGCTGGGGGAGGACTATCCTCCGCCCGTGAGCGCTTTGGAACGGACGAGGTGCCCACGGCAGCACCTGCTGCTTGTTGAGAGTAAAAGCGATACCCGCTTTCAGGTCAAAAAGTCATCATAAATAAGTCTCCAATAACACCAGAAAAAGTCGCCAGATTTGTCACTAGTCGCTTTTTAGAAAAAAAGTCGCTAAGGGGGTCTGAAAACTCGCTAAATATAGCGACAAAGTCGCTAAAGTGGCAACACTGCCCTCCAATAGCCAAACCCATCTGTTCTCTGATTGGATTGTTAAATTTGTAATTGACATGACATTGGCCAATCAGATGAAAGGAAGAAAAATAGGGTCAAAATTCATACTTGTAACTTGAAACTTGAGTGCAGAGTTTCACATGTATTTTTTGGCTAAGTCCTCACACAAATCTTTTTTACACACACACAAAAAATTCTTTTTAGACATACAAATCCTGATTTACAAGTACAAAACTGATTTACAAGTACAAAAAATTTATGACCACAATTTGAGCCCATAGAAGAACACTTCCCAGGAATTTTCCGGGGTCACACGGGGCACGCTGTTGGGGGACGGGCAGTGCCCTTCTTGTCTCCCGGCTGATGACAGGCTCAGTCCTCAGTTCATAACCTTATTCTTAACCTTAACCACAACTTTAATCATATTAGATAGGGTTTTCCAAAGTGATTCATGATGAGAAAGTAAAATAAATGCACACGTGTAGATTAATTCCAAATGGTTCTCATGTTTCCACAAGTGTAACATACTGGCGATTTGTCACGTAGCGTCGGTATGTTATATTTTGGGATGAGGACGTCTGACCAGCGTGATACGTCAGGTGAGACGTCATTCAGGTCTGGTACCTGAAATTAACCTGGTATAAAAATATAAATATAATAAAAATATAGTTTTCATCCATGCATTTTTGCAGTATTATTACTTGACGTCTTAATTTTCTTTGTAATGAAATAGAATAGTGTTTCAACAAGTCCTTTGACAAATGCTTTGACTCCATGCGCATCAAAAAGTTTTAAATATTAAGGTATGTGATTGTCACTCTGCTGTAGTACAGCTCTGCGTTATCTCCTGAGAAAGCGGAGCTGTGCACTTTATATAGAAATGTATAGTTTTTGTAGAATGAGCCTTACTGAATAAAATGCCAGCAATGACAGTATTTAAACCTTTTTCTGCTCCTAAATTTCCCCCTCCATCAAAATGTGAACACCAAGAAAACCAAAGAGATCATTTTCATCTTCAGAAGGCACAGCACTGACTTGGCCCCCCCCTTTGTGGAAAGGGTCCACAACTTCTGGTTTCTTGTCATCCTCATCTCTGCTGAGATCTCCTGGACAGACAACATCACAGCGGCCGTCAAGAAGGCCAGCAGCGGCTGAACTTCCTGAGAGTCCTCAAGAAGTACAAAACAGACTCCAACCTGCTGCTGACCCTCTACCACACCTCCATTAAGAGCCTGCTAACATACTGCATCACAGTAAGGTATGGCAGCTGCACTAAGGGGTATAGAGTGAGGCTTCAGTTGAGTAGTCAAGTTAGCTCAGAAGATCATCGGCTGCCCTCTCCCCTCCCTGATGGACATTTATTCCTCCCGCTGTCTCAGCAGGCAATGAACATAATCAACAACATTTCCCCACCCTGGCTTTGACCTGTTCAACCTGCTTCCCTCAGCGAAGCACTACAGGTGCATCAGCACAAAGACCCACAGACTCAAGAACAGAAGCCATAACCACCCTGAACTCACACATGCACCAATAACACAGTTCCACCGCCTATTTCAAGACTTCCCTCTATAAACCACCACAGAGTAATAACCCAAACTGTATATGCACAAGACTATTTATTTACATATTTGTTTCCTTTTTCCCGGATTTGTTTATTTTGTGGATTTTATATATGTATATATATATATATATTTTTTTCTAAATACTGTTCATATGTATATAGTGCTGCAGAAACTGTGCACCTCGCCCACATTTCTTCTCCCACATGTTAGCACTGAGTTTGAGATGCTCTGTATCTCATTGTACATCTGTATAGTGACAATAAAGGCATTCTATTCTATTCTATTCTATTCTATTCTATTCTATTCTAAAATACAGTCAGTGTTGATCAGAGGATGATGCCATTTGGAGCCTACAAATAAAGTGACACTATTAACCTTTTCTTTGTAGTTTCAATTATACGAAGCATGTTGGTCCCATTTGTTGAAGAACATCCCCACACCATCATGTTCGTACCTCCAGACTTCACTGTTGGTCTGGTATTTTTGGGATGATATGCAGTGCCTTCTGACCTCCAAAACACGGTGTGTATTGTAGCATTGTCATGGTCCTGGCTCATTTTGACCCAGCGTTCTTAGTTTTCTTGTGTTTTTGTATTTTGTTCTTTATTTATTCCATGGTTTCTAAGTTGTTCTGTTAAGATGTTGCTTATTAGATTTCCCCTCGTTACTTTACTCCCTGTGTGCCCCCTCTGTGTATCTGTGAGTCTCGTTTCTCCTCCTTGTGTTTTATTTCATGTTTTCCTCAGCCCGCTGTGTCTGTGTTCTCTCCCCCTCTCTGTGTCTGTGTTCTCTCCCCCTCTCTGGTCTGCGTCTCTGTATACTTCCTGTTTTACTTTGATAGTCTCCCGTCAGTGTGCGTCAGTGTTGTGTTTGCTCCTGCCATGTCTCGCTATGATTATCACTGTCACCTGTGTTCCCCGTTAACCGTCTGTGAATTTATGTCCACGTCTCCCTCAGTTCTGTGTCGCGTCGTCAATGTCTCATCCCTGAAGCTGTGTGATTTTTCCCTGTGTTTCCTCGGTCCTCAGTTTAGCATTCCCAGTCTAGTTTTGTATCATTGTTAAGCCTGCAATAAAGCAGTGATTTTTGAGTTCAATTCTGTTTCCATGAGTTTTGCGTTTGGGTCCTCACCTGCCTGTGCACAGCCAGTTCATGACAAGCATCTCATCTGGTCTCATCTGACCAGACAATATCCTCAGAGTATTTTACAGGCTTGTCTAAATGTTGCTCAGTAAAGTTTAAATGTTCTTCAAGATGCTTTACCTCATTACTTATTTTCTTTGAAACAATTTTCCATGCTGATTCCAGATCTCCATTTCCTCATGTGTTCAAAATTCTTTCCCTGTAGTGTTTCTCATTAGAGCACATAATTTATGGACATCTACTGGATGGATTGGTACTCACATCTGGTGAGAATTTCATGTCAATACCACCTTTCAAAATATATTTACTTAGAAAAGTGTTCAATATTTGTTTTACCTTCTGTATCTGATTGTCACTGTAACAACAAAGGCTGTGTTGAACTTCCTTCCTTATCCTGTTTGATCATGCCAATGACGCAAATTCCTGAACCCACACAGCACAACACAAATGTGAAACTAAACCACCAACGTCTGCTTTCAACTCCTGTATGCTGAGCACGCTATTAACTTCACATAATTACAGACGGCTGAGTCCAATGACCGACATGTTTCGTGATACTGGAACTGAAGATCGGGTTGTCTTAGTAGAGTCTGAGGAGAGGCATGATGAACTTCAAAGTAGGAAAACTTTTTAATTTCCATTTCATTTTGTGTCTGTGTAGCTGTGTGTGTGTAGCAATGCTGTCTGTTTTCACGATGAGGCTGTTGCACAATGGGGGAATCTTGTGAAAGACTTTTTCTTGAAGTTTCTCTTCCATATATTGAAGTTGTGACATAAGAATCTTTATGTTTCTCTTTGGTTGTAATTAATGTAATTGGTGGTGCAGTATTGGTAAGGTTAGTACAGGTTAGTACAGTTTTCATTTTTTTTTTTTTTTTGTACAGTTTTCAGAAGAAGACTTCTGCATTTGTTCTGTGCTCACTTATAGAAAAACAATCAAGATGTTAGGGTTGGGGGGGGGGGATCTGTTTAATGGCTTCATGTAAAAAGCAGAAGAGAGATTTTATCACTGTGCTTAAGGAAATTTTTGATGTCACTGCATGCTAACTTAGTTTGTGTCACCAACTGTGAGTACAAAATCCTCAAAAAAAACGTGTGCTTTGTCCCAAAACATTTATTCACAGTCATATTATTTACATTATTTATTTATTAATTTATTTAGTGAAGTCAGATTTCAGGATTCACAGATTTAGAAAAATTCTGTTGCAAGGACAATGCAACATTTTGGAAATACCTGGACCCCAAAGACACAGCTGTTACTGTTCAGTTTCTAACAGAGACAACTGCTTTGCCCAAAGACTTCAAAAATGAAATCATCAATGTCAGTAACTCTTTTCAATATCTTTCCTCTCTCCAAACTGCAGCTGAGCTCAGACTAGTGAGAGCAATGAAACCTCCAGCTTATGTTCCAATGCAGGTGAGGACCTATGATGGGCCCTCTGGACAGCCTGGAGGATCTGTATTGGTTCAGCACACCAGTGTGAACATCGTCACTGAGCCTCCAAAGGACCATATTATCTGGTCCCTCCTCTGCTTTGCCTACTTAAACCCTTGTTGTCTTGGACTTGCAGCTCTCATTTATTCTATCAAGGTGTGTGTGTGAATATATACATTGTACCTACCTGCCTATCATATCTTACCATATAAATCAAGCTACATGATCATGGCATCGAACACAACCAAAGCTGAAGTGCAAATTTCTTTTTTAAAAACTACAACACTGAAAGAAATATCTTACATTTGTTATACAGTTTACATCATTTCCTACACTGATAGTAACAAAGAAAATATATGGGCACAAAAAAATCCCCACCAGTGAAAGAGCACCTGGGATTATTATTATAATTGTTTGCATTTACTAAAAACATGAAGCTTAACTTTGTCAAATAATGAAACTTAGGCTATGCTTAACATTTGCAGTTTCAGTTTACAATGGGATAAAGATAATTACATTATAATTACACCATTACAAACTATATGTTTCTGTCCTTCTAGGCCAGAGACCGGAAGGTGGCCGGAGATCTGGAGGGTGCACAACATCATGGGTTCATTGCCCGTGGGCTTAACATTGCTGCCACAGTCCTGTTTGTCATTGTACTCACGATTTTCTTTATTATAATCAGTGCTTTGTTTGCAAATGCACCTGCTTATGCTCACAGAGAACCATACTATTATCATTTTAACAGAGATTAAGTTGCTTGCTTCTGTGACTTGTTATTAAGCCTCATATTGGGGCGATCGTGGCTCAAGAGTTGGGAGGTCGCCTTGTAATCGGAAGGTTGCCGGTTCGAGCCCCGGCTTGGACAGTCTCGGTCGTTGTGTCCTTGGGCAAGACACTTCACCCGTTGCCTACTGGTGGTGGTCAGAGGGCCCGGTGGCGCCAGTGTCAGGCAGCCTCGCCTCTGTCAGTGCGCCCCAGGGTGGCTGTGGCTACAATGTAGCTTGCCATCACCAGTGTGTGAATGGGTGGATGACTGGATATGTAAAGCGCTTTGGGGTCCTTAGGGACTAGTAAAGCGCTATATAAATACAGGCCATTTACCATATTTGGTACAAGAAAAAACACAGCTTCAGACCCACTGTTTAATTTAAAAACTAAAGGTGTGCTCCAATAGTTCATTTTGCTTAGTCTCTCAGTTAGGAACTGTGGCAGTAGTAATAAAAGCTGTTCCAGTTACCCAATTACTAAGCAAAAGTGCTTTGGTGCTTCCTTTATTGCTTCCTTTAGCATAGGATACACTGGAGCATCCTTTATGAAAATGAAGAAGAAAAAGGCATCCCATAAGTCATTGCAACAGACCATCCGGCCATTCATGAAAACAATGGACATAATAAACAAAGTTGCACAGATCGTGTGAATGTTCGTTGTAACATTTTTCTTTTCATTTCATGAACTCCTGGTATATTTCAGCGTTTTTAATAACTGTTTGTTAAATAAATACTTGCTGTTGAGTTGCTTTGCATGAAGAATGCAGTATGCTATGTAAGCTCAAGATTTTGATCTACACTGACTGATCAAAGTGTGCTTAAACTTCTCTGTAATCACTGTTCTTTAGTAAAATCTTTCTGTTGTACTACAGTTTTCAGGATTCATTTTTATACACTATGGGGCAGATTTACTAAGTGAGTCCAATTATTGTGATATTGCAATTGCAGTATGATCTATGATCTATTTACAAAGATGCAGGCTGTTCATATCAGTAAAAAACAGCATTCTGTCCAGAGTCACAAAAAGTTACCTGAAATCAAAAAGATTAGCTTTTAACAGCTTTTGTTTTCATTGCCCTGCTTGAAAATCATTACTAGATGAGCAGGTTATAGAGGTGTAGTAGCACCCCTTTTAAGAGTTATCATGAAAGAGTCTGATTTTTTAAAAAACAGGAATGTTATACCTGCACATATATTGGCAAAAGTATTCAGGCAACCATTCAAATCATTGGATTCAGGTGTTCCAATCACCTCCATGGTCAGAGGTGTATAAAATCAAACAGCTGGCATGCAGACCGCTTCAAAAAACGTTTTTGAAAAAATGAAGTGAATTGAATTCCAGCATGGTACTGTGATAGGATGACACCTGTGCAACAAGTCCAGTTGTGAAATGTCCTTGCTACTAAATATTCCACAGTCAGCTGTTAGTGGAATCAAAACAAAGTGGAAGTGACTGGGAATGACAGTAACTCAGCCACAAAGTGGTAAACCAAATAAAATCACAGGGCGGGGTTAGCAGATGCCAAGGTGCATAGAGCGCAGAGGTTGGCAGCTTTCTGCAGTCTCAGTTTCAGCTGGGCAGCTGCATCTGCACCTTACATCACTAAATGCAATGCAAAGCGTTAAATGAAGTGGTGTAAAGCATGTCGCCACTGGACTCTAGAACACTGGAGACGTTTTCTGTGGAGTGACGAATCACGTTTCTGGGTTTGGTGGTTGCCAGGGGAACGGTATTTGTCTGACTGCATTGTGCATGGTCCAGTTTTTTTCAGAATAAGAATACCCAGTGATGCCAGTTGATAAAATTGTGTACATCAGAATCTGCTTTAACTACTTTGTAGAGGTGGAGCAGCTGGCCCTCAACTCCACCAGCTTGTCACTTGGCATCGAGCCCAGTCTTGACACGATGCTGCATGGCAGATTTTCTCTTGAAGTTTTTTTTAGGTGACTTTAAAGCTGGCGTTCCCAGAGAGAACCCACGCAAACATGGGGAGAGCATGCAAAATCAAAGCAGAAAGGGTGGAATCGAACTTAGCTTTGAGGCAGTGTTAACCACTGTGACACCATGCTGCCCGGTCTAGTTACTGTAGCTCAGAAAACAATCCTTTAATCTAAATCCATGCAGTATCGCATTTCAGGTAGTACTGATTTAATACTCAGTTCTTATTTCTGACTTCTTATTAAGTTCTTACTCATATGGAGATTGTTGTATCATTGTGATCATTGTGTATAAATGTTCAGTTTGCCTGTTATTAGCTTTACTAAACAAAATGTCAGCAGTGAATCTTCTCAACATAAGAATTTTGTGTTAAGTTCTTCCCTCCACTGAAATTTAATAGTAACTGATGGCCAGGAGATGTCAGCATTTGGTCTGTATAAATATTATGACACAATGAACCTTTATTAAATTAACTTCTTAAGTTAAAAATTTTTATTATGAGATTAGATTTGGCCATTTATGATAAGAGGTGCATTACATCCCCTAATCCAGTGCTTCCCATGGTACCAGTCTGTGAGCCGTTTGGTACCAACTCACAGACCGACTTTGGTTGAGACTCGGGTGTGAAATTTATGGTTTTCAGGGTTCGTATCAGTTTTTATCATTATTTTTTATCAGTTTTCCTGGGTCTTTCCCTGTGTGTTATGAATAAATTTTCTTTTTTGGTACCGGTACTGGTTTTATTTTGTTGTATTTATCCGCCACACCTTAAAGGCCGATCCGTGAAAATATTGATGGACGTAAACCGGTCCGTGGTGCACAAAAGGTTGGGGACCACTGCCCTAAACCACAGTATTTTACATTGTCCACTGAAAACTATGAATAAATCATTAATTTGAAAACTTAACATAATGTACAGTGTGTTAAGTGGCAGCTGCGTTTGTTAGGTAATTAATTATGTCATTACTGTATTTACTGTATTTATTGATCAGACCTACCCTACTAAGTATTTTGTCTTGCAAAACTCAAGCCTCAACAACGCTGTTTTTCCTTCTTCTCCATCTCACTGGTATTTCATCTGCTTGACCACCAGGTGGCACTCCAAACAAATGATCCCAACAGCGTCAGTGCCCCACAGACCCAGCTTCAGTTCAAGTTCAAAGTGTTTCCAGATGCTGCTCCTTACAACAGCTCAGATGAAGACAGTCTCACACAGGTAACAGTGATTTAACAGGATTTGTAAGCATGTGGTCGAGAGCTACAAACTGTGAGTGGGTGAGAGTGTCCTTCCCCTTTAGAATGTATTTCAATGTCATGAGAAACCATGTTTTAAGTCAAATTAATTGACATTTAATTATTTTTATACTTATGTATTTAATTAATGCCAATTTGATTAATTGATGAAACATTTAATTAATTATTTAATTACATTATTTATTTATTTTGGCACCCCTGACCCTCTATAAAGGGCAAAATTAAACATTTTCTTTCAATGATTTAGATCCAAAACAACACAATGTAACTCTACCAGTCCTTCTCTGTATTTCTCAATCAACATTCTTAATGCAAACATTGCATATGCTGTCCTCTTTCTGAGCATTAAACTATTGTTTCTTAATCTAGCTTCAGCGTCAACTTCATCCTTCTGTAGTTTCTGCAGCTCTGCACACCACTTCTCCTCCATTACTCTCACTCGCTGAGATTGTTTTAAACAATGTGGTATAAAGTCTACTGCTTTCTCGTCTGTACATCTGCGTACCGTCACAGGTATGTTAACTAGACCCACTGCCATTTCACTCTTCATCCACTTCATACTTGTCCTCACTTTGTCGTTACTAATCTTTTGCAGTTCCAAATTTACCGTTTCTTCCACTCATCTTATATTCGCTTCACTTTATAGCATATTAAAACTTTTCTTTTAAGCATTTCTGTTTATCTTCTTACAGCTTTGTTTTGGTTCTCTACATGCCATTTTCAGCAACAAAGAAACACATCAGCCAAAACTATTTCTCACAACAACGATAATAAAAAGTTGTGTCATTGAAGATCAACAGCAGAGTGTCTTGTCAACGTCTTGTGTAACATATTTCACACAGGAACTTAAAATGAATTTAAAAATTAAAAAAGTGACAAATAGGAGGTATGGAGCCGAACCTGAATAGCTACGGTATTCGGAAAGGCGCAAATAACGTGTTTTTTTTCTTTTTCTTTTTCTTTTTCTTTTGATTTTTTTTTTTTTTTTTTTTTACGAATACTTAATTCGAACAAATATTTTAAAGATATTTATATTCGCGAACAAGAGAAACTTTATATCAAAAGCTGCGTTTCCTCATGAGACCACAGTGCATGCCCGATGACTGAGCGAGTGAGTGACGTGTAAAGACGTAACTGACACACGCTGCTGCACTCAGCAACAGAGAAGGCTTTGCTGAGCGAAAAAAGAATGAACTGCATCACTAGTTTTGTTGAATTGATTTTTGTACCTTAACCGGGTTCTCACTCGTGTGCTCTCATGTTCGCTCTGTTTATGTAGCTGTGTTAGCTTTAGACAATAGGCTGCTGACCAATGACTGTAGAAAACAGTCATTGCTGCTGACAGAGTAACGTTAACGTTCGGTTAAAAAGGTTAAAACAATGCTTGTGTAGTTGTTTCAAATTGGATGCAGTTGTGGGCGATATATAGTACGTTTAACCTTCACAGGCATGGTACGTTTAAGTTATTCTGGCTTTTGCAGACACCAAGATGTAGGTTATAAGCTATTTAACCTATTCAACCAAATAGAAAAGAGTGTGGCTTCTGCTGAGCCATCTCTTGGTCCTCCACTGGCCCTAAAAAACTTGCTCAAGTTCTGTGTGGAAGCATTTCACAGTCAGTGCTGCAGATAAAACCAAAGTGATATGTAACTTGTACAAAATTCAAATTAGCAGAGGCAGATATCAAACATCTGACAACATCTGCTATGCATAATCACATGCACTTAAAGCATCCTCTTCTGTCTGCCAACCCCCCCACATGCACCAATCCCCCACCAGCAGCAATTCATCATCACAGCCGTTGTCTGCCCCTGCAAGTCAGTTTCCATCACCTATATTAGCTGCATTTAATGCAAAAAGGCTTGTCCACCTATCCACCTCACTGCAAAGC